TCTTCACGAATTTTTCATCTCGCGTTTGCTGGAAATCTCCTTTTTCAAGGAATTTTTCATGCCTCTGTTATCCCTTCCAGTAGCTATTTTCCTCTATTGTTGGTTGTTGCTGTTTTGAACTCTTTTTGGTAAAGAACTTACCGGAAAAATGGATTTTTCCAATGGCATTTTATACGTGGTATAACATGGTTAATGTAGCGATTCCCACAAATTGGGGCCAATATGTTGACCTTCAAAAATGGCTCCAACAGGTTCCCTATCCTCGTCCCCTTGAAACCTGTGCAAGTAGCACCTCGTTAAGAGACAAAGGCGGCCAGACGAAAAAAAGGTTCGGCCACCGTTTGCACTCCGACGGTCAAGTCAACGACCGGAGGACAATAGATATATAGAGTGCAATAGTATGGAGATGGGGGTTTGGCTAGAGAGTGTATAACCTTCCTTAGTTATATGAGTGAATCTATATATATAGAGAAATGGAAGTGAAATAGGCCAAACGAGTTGGTGGGCCGAAGTCTAAGCCCAATAAGAAGGTGATCATATGAACATAATAATAAGCACTTCGGCGAGCGCCTCAGCTGAACTCCTTAGGGCCTAGGTAGCGCCTCGGCTTTGGGGGCCCAATTCTGATGGGCCTCGTCCGAGTCCAATAAAATAGCCCAATATGAAGTGGTAATTTATAGGCGTAACAGTAAGTACATTTTTATTTTTCACACCGAGTGAATCACCCTATGGCCACACAATTTGTGTGTACGGTTAGTTGCCAAATATAGTTTATGTTACATCAATGGTGCGAGGACATCGATTCACTTTGATATGATCAATTAAATGAATCATATAACATTGTATATTAAATGAATTTATCATTTAATATCATGCAGTAACCATTAAACGGGTGTTAAATAGCATTCCTCCAATGTTAAAAGGGTAAATCGCAGAGGAGATCCCTATACCTATTCAAAAATTACAAATGGGTCCCCCACCTTGAAATCTTGGCAATGCCATCCTCAACCGGCATAAGTCATCCTAGACGGATTTCTTTCCATCCAATTAGGATTTAGCTCCTTGTTTGTCTCCTTTCAAAACAAAACACTTTAACTATCATACTCATTTTCAACCACGTATTCACAAAATAAAATATTTTACACGTAAATTCAAAACTGTAACATAATTTTTAACCACACATTTTTCAAAAAATCACGATTCAAAACATCAATTTTTTTTTTCAAAACAATAACTACCAAATAGGGGTTAAATAAGCAAGTCCACCTTTTACGAGGACAAGTTGGTCTACCAACTCTAAATTTTATTTCTCTAGAAAACTGCTTGAAAAGAAAATGAAAAATCCCAACTGATCACAAATGGTCACTTTTTCGAATTTGACCCTTCTTCCCATCTTAATGTCCTGCCTTTCTCAATGCCAACCATCGTTAACCTTCATATTTCTCCTTTATTTATCGCTTTGGGCAAACCACAAATAAAAATTTACATTAAAAAGTGAAGTAACACATATATAAAAAAAAATTATAATTTTGGGCAATTAGTAATGAGTAAAAAATTTGAGTAATTGTTCATCAACTCCATATAAAAACCATACACCCCTTCTTGAGTATTATTTGGAGAAATAAAATGCTCTTTATCTAATTTTGGAAAGTAAAAATTTAGGGAATGTTCTCTTCGTGTTTCAATTTTGTAGTTTTGAGTTTTGAATTCATTTTGGATTTTGTGTTTTGAGTACCTATTTTGAAATTGTTGAAAATGCGTTCTTTTTGCCATTTTGGAAAACTATTTCTCAAATGAAATTATTTCCCGTGTTTTCAATTTTTTCAAGTTTTGTGCTGAAAACACCCAAAATGTCGTTTTGTGTTTTTCTCGCAATTTTTTTTTTGTTTTTGAAAATGGGAAAGAAAACGCGTCTTTACCGTTTTGAAAAATCGAAAACCGAAAACGGCCTGAAAACAGCAAAGAGAACACACCATTATTTTTTGAATGTTTTAAAAAAGGCGGCATTCACTTACTGATTTAATGCCTAATTTAACTAAATCCATCTGAAAGAACCTCTGCTACTACAGATATAAATGGTTGAATATAGCACTACTGAGATTTAAAGGTTAGTGAACTATTTGCACTTTTTGTGAATGTTAAGGATCCTTGAAGAAAATATTATTAATGTAAAAGAAATGAGAAAACGTTCAAATAGTTTATGACAACAGCATGACCAATGAATAGGATCCATTGGTAATAGTTTGCCAGCACAACTGTGTCGGTTGCTGAGGATGGATTTTTGTGACCCCAATGTTCCTTTGCAACTCAAATTAGAGCGAATCGTGAATAAGCTTAATATGCTATATATAATGAAGAAATTACATAGAATAGTCCTTTTTAAGTTTTCAATTCATAAATCACAATTTTTTATTATTTTAAAAATCAGGTATATAACCCCATCCCCACGTCACCTATAATTTATAAATCAATTTCTCCCCTAATTAAATTCACAAATCCACAATCATTCAACTCTCCATCTTTACCCCACTGTCCACTGCCACAGTGATCGTACCCATTTTTTCCATCGACCACCACAAGCACGAAGGTATTGCAGTAGCTAATTAGCACGGAAAAGCTGCTTTAGAAGAGTGACCTAATGAGAAGGAATTATTCTAGATGTACATTCTAGTTTACATTATAGATAACATTCTTCCCATATGTCAAAATTTGATTAGTGATGTGAAAGGGTGTTAGGAAAAATAAAAGGAAATGATAAGTGCCTCGTGGAAGAATGTCAAAATTAAAGTAAAATTAAATGTACGTATAGCAAGCTTCAATGAGCAGTAAGTCGTTTGCAACTTGGGCACATGATTCTGACCCGACACTATTCCATCGACCAAATTTTGGTTTTGACTAACACGCTCCTTTTTGTGGATTGGTGGATCACGAACAACCTGCAAGATCGGTATTCGATATTTCATACCTCGCCTCAACAAAGTTATGATACGAAGGTTGTGGCATTGCAGTGGTGTGATTTGCAATTTTCTAGTGCATCTGTGTTGGACTGTGTGTTGATGCAGGTGGCGGCGGCGACAATGGCTTGATTGATGTCATGATAGCTTGTTTTGTGGGGGGAAAAAATTCTAATTTGAGGACTTAAAATAAAAATAAGTTATAATCACTTCACTTTCACCGCAAAATTATTTACACAAAGACAATCTACCAGCCATTGGTTTAGACAACAAAACTCTACAAATAACTTGCTTCATTGAATATTATCTTCCAACATTTTGACATTAAGATTAGTTGGCACTGCCTAGCCTTTTGTAAATCGATTGTTCCCTCTGTATACATATTACACTCTGATGAGTCGACGTAATATTTTGACGGAAGGGTAGCTACGATACAAGAATAATACTATTAACTTATATGTAAAAATGTAAATATGCTCCTTTGGTTTCTGATTCTCTTCGCTCGTCATGACTATATTTATGAGACACGACATGGGTGTCGATCTAGACTATCTAGTCCAAGCTTATATTTTCGTAAACTACTTTCAACAACCATTTATTTTTAATAGGCAGTTTCACCGACCCTTTTTGTTTCGGTTAAAAATTTTCTACGGCCCTTTATGTTTTCCGGCGAAATATCTCAGGGGTCATTTGGCCGTCAACAATTTCCGATGAATCATAATATGCGAAAAAAATACATTTATAAATTAAACAATACAATAAAAAATATATATATTGTGATAAAAGGTTTCTCCGCACATTGAATGCATAATAGTCTGAATTGCTACTACAATGGCTATTATCTCGCCTAATAGTTCTCCGTATTTACTCCACGTGTCACGTGGCACGTTTCTATTTTTACAAACTATCTCAAGTCAATTTATATGCGTAACACTCAATTGTGTTATTAATGGATTTTTAAAATTTTTTAAATTTAAGTATTTTCAATTGTGATTTTAATGAAATTCATTAAAAGTTAGGTGTCTCTAATTGAGATTTTAATGAAATTCAATGAATTCTTTTAAAATTTAGGTATCCTCAATAACCAATGAATTTATAAAAAATTTATTAATAGAATGATTTAAAAGATTTGGATGGATTTTAAGCTTGAAAACACATATAATCAATTTTTTTTTTTTTAATTTTACCATATTTAATGAATTTATTAAAAAAAAAATTTACATCCCGTAATTGTTCATGCATTTCATTTACCCACATGATTGGCAGGTCCGTATTAATCTAGGGTCTCATTATCTTTACTAAAATTGGAGTTTTACATAAGTGAATCTCAACTTTTGTTTATAAAGAAAAAAAATTAGTTGATATGTACATAAAAGCTCAACGAGATCAATAAATATAGAGTAATGCTAACAACAGATTAGGTGGTAGTGGAACTCACACTATTAAAGTGTAAGCTTCATCGTTGCCTATAGAGAACTGCAGCACACCATTGTTCACATATAGCATTATTCATATTACTCAAAATAAAATAAATTACTTTTAGAATTTAAAAATTAAATTGCTCCCATCTGCCCTTTGTTTTAAAATATTTAAGTTCAAGTTTGGTACAGATTCTTTAAGAATAATTTTTTATTAAAGTTATTTTCAATCACATATTTCTTCAATAAAATAATTTTGTACAATGATCCATCACTTTTTTCCCCCTATTCTTTTACCACAATTGCCCCAAAATAATCGCTTTTCACAAAATATATTCTCAGAAAATATTTGAATCAAATATGTCCCAAAGGTTGACTATTGATAATTTCTTCTTAACCAATCATTTGTTTTATTAAATTAAATTGAAGGAAACATGACACAGTTGCCACAATGACTTTTCACATGTAACCGTACATATCAGAGCAATAACGTGCCCAACTAATTAATTAATTAATTGACTTTAAGGTTAAATAATTAGGGAATGCATTAATATTTAATAGTAATTGAATCATATTTCAATGCATTATAAATACTTGCCCTTGTCTGTCTCCATATTGATTCAAGAAAATGGCTGATTACATGGTTTATTGGCTTGTGTTACTTTTGGTTGCAACCTCCATGTGCACTACAGAAGCAGCTGCAACCACATATAATGTCATCACATTTGGTGCTAAATCGGATGGTGAAACTGATGCCTCTCAGCCATTCCTCAAGGCATGGGCATCGGCATGTAGATCGTTTCAACAGTCGAAAATTTACGTCCCTAAAGGACGTTACTTGCTAAAACAAGTCACGTTTACCGGACCGTGTAGGAACCAAATCAAAGTTCAAATTGACGGTACTCTAGTTGCTCCGGATAATTACCGTGTTATTGGTAATTCAAACTACTGGATATTGTTCATTCTGATTAACAACATTTCAATCATTGGTGGAACTCTCGATGCCAAAGGAGCCGGTTTTTGGGCATGTAGAAGATCAGGAAAGAACTGCCCTGTTGGAGCTAATGTACGTATAAATGTATATGTTTAGCATTTTAGACTGGATACTCTGTAATATTTGACTAAAATTTTACCGTTTGGCCTCACCTCCACTTGAGAGAGGCCATTTTGCGCTCAAGCGAGTGCTCAATTCCTTCAAATTTTTTGTCCTTCATTTTCTGTTCTTGATCTTCGGGTCTCAGGCTCTTGTTTTTCATCTTGAAATCCACTTTAAAAGGCCAAATATCTTGTCTTTCATTTTCCTCCATGTGCCTCGAGTCCGCGGTTGGCTTCCTAAAACAATTGAAAACAAATAACAATATATAAATATCAACTTTAAATTACTATGAGGGTCCGTTTAATTGCAAAGATGAAATTTGGGTGGAAAGAAAATGAATTCTAGAGAATTGAATTATCTAAAAATTGTTTTCCAAGGAATTGTAAATTATTGTATTTGATTGGTATAATTTTCTACGTAAAAAATGTTAAAATAAAAGTATTTTTTAGTGTTCGTTTGACTTTATTTTATATGAAAATTGTCAATTAAATGGATAAAATTTACTGGTATTGGAGATGAAATTTGTTTCTATTGTCACAAAAAAAATTCAAGAAAATCATCTATCTTTTGGTGTTCATTTGACTTTGTTTTACATGAAAATTGTCAATTAAAAGGATGAAATTTATTACAATAATTCTTCAAATTTATTTCAATTGTAAAATAAAAAAAAAAGATGTCAAAAGGTGGAATTTGCTTATGTGGCAACAAAAGGTGGAAAAGGAATTCCATGCCAAATTTGTGCCATCAAACACATAAAAATGGAAAATGGAACCATTTTCCATGGAAAATATAGCACAACAAACATGGCCTAAAAGCCTCGATTTAAGAGCTTATCTATGTGCAAAATTTGCACTCATTAGTATGTGTTTGGTATGCTTGGCTCAATATCGACTTACTATTTGACTAACAATTTTACTTTTTAACTTTCAGTCTATAACATTCAACTGGGCTAACGACGTTGTGATAAGTGGATTAACATCGATAAATAGCCAGTTAATGCACCTCGTAATTAATAGCTGCAACAACGTAATGGTTCGTAATGTGAGAATTGTAGCTCCCGACTTGAGCCCTAACACGGACGGGATTCATGTTCAGTACTCTACTGGTGTTACAATCACTGGCAGCAGCATAAAAACTGGAGATGACTGTATATCAATTGGTCCTGGGACCAGAAATTTGTGGATGGAGAAAATACAGTGTGGCCCTGGACATGGTGTTAGGTACTTAACTTTCTAGGATTTTTACTTATTTTATCTTAATCTTGAAGTAATTAATTGGTGTATGTGTTTGCAGCATTGGCAGTCTAGGAAGGGATTATAATGAAGCTGGAGTACAAAATCTGACTTTAACCGATTCGGTTTTCAGTGGATCCGACAATGGGTTACGGGTTAAAACATGGGCGAGACCCTCAAATGGTTTCGTTAGAGACATTCACTATCGAAATATCCTTATGAAGAATGTCCATAATCCAATTATTATCGATCAAAATTATTGTCCCGCCAACCAAGGTTGTCCCCACCAGGGTTCAGGAATAAAGATAAGTTCAATTAACTACGAAAATGTACAAGGAACATCAGCAACTGAGGTGGCTATGATATTTGATTGCAGCCCTACCAATCCATGCACTGATATCTCATTAAGAAACATCAAAATCAGTTTAGCTAACAGCAGAACAAAGGCTAAATCATATTGCAAAAACATTGGTGGAAGGACCAGTGGTGTCATTTTGCCAGATAATTGCTTATAATTAACCTTTTTATTTTTTTCTTTTTTGACTTCGTGTATACTTCAGTTTGAACCATGTTTTCAGTTTGGCACCTGTAAAGTATTTCAACGCCTTCACATCGCTCCACTCCAATATCCAAACTTCCTATATTTCTTACAATTGAGATGTGCAAATATATAAAGTGAGTGCACCTCATATTATAAGACTATAAGCCATGAGTTAAGCTCGCAACTTCATCATAACATTCCCAATAGGAATTATACAAGTAGAATTTGAAATTCCGTTTTCCAGTGCTAGTACCAAATCGGAACTGGACCGACTAGACTATTTTCAATGTTGTTCCGATCTGGCTCTATTTTCTTTCGATGACCTTACTGTTAAGGGATAAATCTCATATCAAGTGAAAATAAAAACATAGAATAACTTATAAGGGTTTGCATTACTCCTCTTAATGAGATTGACCTTTTAAGATAGAATCTCGAATTTTAATATGGTATCAAAGTCCATTAAATTCAAACGAGCAATTATATTCGATTAAGACTTAAAAAATAGGCATGCAAATTTCAAAATCGGTTTGCTCAAATGAGCCATCATCTTTAAGAAGCACATTAAGAGATAAATTCCACATTGAATAAAGATTAAAACGTAGTGTGAAGTTCGATTCCGATCCAATTCCATAGGTTCTGGCTATTTTTGCTCACCCTAGTAAGAGCAAAATGTATGCAATGGATGAGTCTAGTTTGATTCTGGAGCCCTGTGTAGAAATTACTTTTATTATCTAGCACATCGTCTTAATACAAATGGGATATACAATGTATTAGGTGAAAATTTACAATAGAAAACAATTATTTACTGATAATCATCATCACTTGTCCTTCGATTAAAATTGGAATATCATCTGATCTAAACATTACAATTGATGATTAGATCGCGCTTATATAGATGCTTTTTATACAACATCCTTAACTAGAGCGGTAAGACGATTAGAGAAAATGATCCTTTTTTTTTAGGGTACGCACGAAAAACATGCAGGATCCATGCATACTCAAATTTTGTAGTAAAGATCAAGCTTTAAGAAACTAATAAAATCCTTGAGTATGTACATGAAAATGACGTGTACCGCAGTAAGCTAGACAATCTCTCTGGTGGTAATATGCATGTAGCCTCAAGGATCCCTTAAGCTCCGGTGGTCATCAGCCAATTCGGAGGCACTGCCTGTATTCCGAAGTGAAGATCTGTTGTGGAAACTACCTTGGTGTTTCTTGGAAGTGTTACATTTCTGATCAAGGTGAACCGAACTTCCCGAGGAGCAATGGCGGACGTGTACTCGATGAGATTTTGTTACAGTGGAGTGACTGCCTTTTACGTTCACCAGCAAAATGACTTCCTTGTCCCGGCTGTCTTCAGACCACCAGCTCTGTGGCGAACCATCTACAAATTCTTCCAACGTATGGAATTCTTCGTGATGTATGGATATTTCTACAACTTGATCAGCTTTGATTAGGCCAGCTGCAGGTGTCACCTAAATCATATTTGATGATTTTATTTTTGCGGAAGAGAGTATTTTCAGTCAAGTTTTGTATCAGAGCATCAAAAACTAGGATGCATTGACACCTTCTTGGCGCCGGCAAGTCAATGTCTGACACGTGTCAGAAACTGACGTTCATCGGGAACATAAAAATATTTTTTATTTTGTACAGTCGAAACATTGCCAACATGCTGGGAGATACATTATCGACACATAGGAATTAACAAAAACAAATTTACTTGAAAATAATAATAAAAAAAATTATTACCTCAAGCCAACGAGGGAAACCAAGAGATCCTCTGGGCCGATAGTCGGATGCTACTTTGTCCTCTTTGACTGCGGATTGACCTTGGCAGATGATTTGGAAAAATGCAAATTCTGTACCACTTTTGTTGGTGATTCTCAAACTGAAAGTTTCTTGATTTTTCAGCACTACTTTTTCTGTGCTGACTACGGTTTCTGGAACAAAGTGTAGTTCGTCAAGGGAAGACCTGATTGTATCCTTGGACATCATAATTTTTCCGAACTCTTGTCTTCTCACTGATCTGTCAACACGGGCAATGTCCACATCAAACTTGCTCCGTACAGGTTTATGATCACTCTCGGTAACATCCATACGAGCTTGATATCTGCCATACACATCAAACAAAAAAGTTTTGTTTACAAACATGAAAAAGGAAGACTAACAGAGAAAATAATCTTGTGAGACCTACTGTATTATGGAAGCAACCACAGGGCATTCTAAACTGCATTCATCTGTTGGAGCAGCCCTGCTATCTCTATATAGGATTCTATCACACCAAGCCGGTATTCGTTTTTTCTCCCCCGAATCGTAACCTAAATTAAGGAATTACATAAGTCATTACTGCTATCCACGAGTCATAGACAAAAGGTTTCCTTAAAAAAAAATAAAAAAAAGTTACTCGTCAAAATCGTGTTCAAGGAGAAACCAGATGTACCTCCTAGAAATACATTCAATGAAACAATCAAGTAACAGATTTGCATGTGTTGTTATTAGTTACGATATTACCTCCCAAACCAGGTTTTCCCCTTTCGAACTTGTAAGTTGGTGGAAATTTGATGAGTGCCTCGCGCATTCCTTGGAAAACTCTACCAGCTTTCATTTCAGCCCTAAGCTGATCTTTTTCTCGAAGCCAGTCAAAACTTCTTTGGGAAACAAGATCCCTTGCTTCGTCATAAGATATGCCAAAAAGACGATAATTAAAATCACCACAAAAGACGACCATATCAGCTTCAGCAAGATCAGGCTTCCCCTCGTTAGGATTGGATGCAGCAACCTGTTAGGCCAAGAGAACCATCATAAAATCAGAGACATAGTCTAATGAGAAAAAACATATTTGAACAACTCATTCTGAATCAAATGCATACACTTGCAGCACGAAGCGTCTGAGTAGAAGATGAGACACCAGCTGCAATGAGAAGCCAGAATAACAAAGCAACCAAAACAAATATGTAGAAAAGACAAGAGAGCAAGACAAAAACAGGAATGACAGCATACCAGCAGCATTGTTAAGAAGGTTAGATGAGCGGGTGAAAGTCATGGTTCGAAATATATGATCAAAATCAGCATTGCGGCGGTTAACTGCTTCCAAATGTGCAGCAAAATGACAATTTGTAAAACACATTATCCTATCGAATACTCTCAACCTCAAGCCTACACCTCCCTGCATACAAAATCGAGCCATGTAAATCACGATATGCGGAAATGACAGGAAGCAGATTGATCGACTTTGAGTATGAAACTTACTGTGGAAATCAAATACTACAAATGTATCCAAGAAAATACTACAAATCGATAGTGAATGAGCTAGGACTGCATTACAACCCAATCTCATAGGTGGGATCAAAGACAATATTATTCAATAACCCCAACTTTGGGTAGAGGGGACTATCACAAAAACAATACTAAACAGTCAAAGCCCAATGCCTTAGATTTGCAACAAATCGGTTGGTTACCTTATTCCCAATTGCACGACCTAAACCACACGCAACTGCAGCAACATCCAGGTCCCCAACGTGTGTTCTAACTGTCTTTCTCACCCTGAATGAAGGATATTAACAAACTGTCAAAATGTATGTTAGGTAAAGGATTGAGAAGTTCAGTTCAGATCGTGGAGTTTTGACATTGAAAAAGTGGATGAGAATTTGTAACTACGGTAGTCCCAATAAAAGACCTTACCAGATAGCTATGAGCAAACCAGCCAGCTGCCTGGACCCTACGCGTTCGAAAGTGAATTCTTCATCCAAAGCCTTGCCAATATTTTCCTGCCACCATTGCCCAATAGAACTTCCTTCAAGTCCTACCTGCAATGGATACACAACAGCAGGTAGAAAGTCAAATGAATGAAACCTGCGCGGATGTGGAAATGGAAAAATTTAAATATGGGAATGTATTTTAAAGTCTACGTTAAAAACTAAAATAGGCATCTCCAAAATAAGATCCTAGTTTATCACCTGTCAAAATAATGATTTAAAAATCGAGAACGAAGATCTCACTTTCCAAAATTAAACATTTTTTTAAGGATTGTATGTAAATCATTTAGCAATTTAAAGTTTAAGTAGCAATTTAATCTGCATAAATATCCATGTGCGCAGGTGATGGAGAGAAATATTTCGAAGAGCACTAGCACAGGAGAGTAAGAGTTGGACAGCAAGAAGAATTATATTTCTCATTTTTAGTACAAATACTCCTTCAGAATACATAACTTTCTGAATTGAATTACCCAGATATGATAAAAAAAAAAAGAAAAAAATAAAAAATCTAATGCTACATATGGATATCCTGCAACATCAAAATTGCATGTTTTGAATTTAAGGCAGTCCATGAACACTAACTTGTATCATAAGATGAATTAATAGAGAAAACCAGAAAAGAATAAACAGCTGGACATGCTTAAAGCACCTGATTTTCTTCTTCTTTCTTTCTTCATACTTTTTTTTTTCCCCTTTTCTTGCAATCAAATACAAAGTTAACCATCTCATGTAAAAGCTTACGTTGTTGGAGGGGCCATCCATATGATTTAAATCTTGTTTTCAACATTCCCCATGACATCCAAACCGAATACATTTTTTTATCAAATGTTGACATATGCACAATTTTCATAGTAGCGGTGACTATTGATCTCAGGAATTTTCCAAACTCTGATATCATTTGAACCACGTCATTTAAAAACTTAGATTGATAGAGAGGTGCCACATGTATACATTTAAATGCTGTCTTCAACAAACAACAAAATTGAGGTTCTTGTAGGCATGAATGGACGCATTATTACATAAGAGAAGTTTATTGACAACTTACAGTTTCTTTTGCTGCAGACATTGCAAGAAAACCTGCACCCATTTCCACTTCTTGTAACCCAACAACTACAATATCGACATCCGATACTGCAGAGCTTAGCCATGAGATAAGAGCATCCTGAGATGCTCTTCCTTGGCCTACATTCCATGTGCCAACTAATATTCTAACATTATCTAGTCTTGTATACATGTTTTCTCTGTCAGCTAATTCTAGCCTTAAAATGTTATCCACAGGTCCTGGAGAGGCAATGCTCCATCCCCGTATACCGCCATGAGTTGCCAAACTAAAAACGTAACCATTTCCAATCACTAATTTTATAACAGGACCATTGTGAGCAACCCAACCAGCAATTAAGTTTCCTTCGAGGTCCAGCAGTTGGACCATCCCACTTATATAACCAACCCATATTCTTGACCCATAAGTGCAAAAGCATAGAACAGCACAAGGATGATGATTGAAATCTTGCAAACGGTTGCCATTTCCATCCCATTGCACTAATAAGCCATTGGAACAGCCAGTCCATATCATTCCATCTGATGCTAGAACAAGGGCTTCTGTTTTTTTAGTATCTTCATTATAAGCTGATCCCTTTGTTGCAGCTCGGCGCACAGCATCTGCAGCTCCCATTATAGCATTACGTGACCGCTGCAAAAAGCCTTGGGATTTCTCCTTTTTTGACTTGGAGACGAGCTTAAGATTCTCATCTTCAGCTGCTTGGTCTTGCACTGATGGCATATCGACTCGATTTTCAATTTGACCGTCTATGTTAAATACTTTTAGAAGTTCTCTTGTGCGAGCATCCCTGCAGTTTCCCAACTATCTTGATTATTAGCAATAACTACCAAAACATGGCATTCCCCCCAAAAAGAATATCTTCCCACTTTTTTTGAACTAGAAACATTGAGAAATTGAGATTTCAATGATAATTCATAAACAATAAATATGACAGCTAAAGCAAAGTTGTAGACTTAAACAGTAAATCAGTTTGCAGAGTGAGAAAATTGACAAACATACCATAATGAGAATGATGACGACCCAACTGCCCACACTTTGGCTCTGACATTGTCAGATAACAAGCTCTTAACATCCGAAGATGAAATGTTACAAGCACCATTAATGGTAACTTGGCTCCTAAGGTCAACGAATGACCTCTCCACTAGTAAAGAAGCCATGTGTCTTTCCTCTGGTGATAGAGATAGAGATTTTTCAATAGCTTCCCATGGCCACACCTTTATTATACCACCCTCAAAACCTGACCAAATATCACCTGAATTGAAACCATATAAAGTTAAAACTTGGCAACACTTAAACAAATTTCAGATTAAAGGAAGAGTTGAAAGCATACGTTTATTGTATTTCATGTCAAAAGAATATGCAATAAGCACACGCCAAGCAAGTCTGTAGCTAGCTTGCAGAATATCATTTCAGAATAAAAACATGGGATGGTAAATAACATTACGAAATAGTTTTTTTGTCAAACAACGCATCTTTTATCAGAAGAAAAACAGTTCCATCCGAAAAGATAATCAAGTGGGATTAAGACATCGTTATGGAAAGATACAATTGATTAAACATCTATCATCACAGAAATGTACACCTTAAACATTGAACACAATAAAATGGTTGAGCATCTATAATATCAGAAATGATAAAACTTTTGGCCAAGTCAAAAGGGATTTACCATAAGAAGAAATTGTCATGGTAAGAACTGGACCTCGATGAGCCTGCCAAAAGAGGCCTTCCTTCAAAGTGGAATCCTTGTTAGAAGGCTCGTCCATCCTCCAAGACCTAATCTTACCATCCTTATGCCCACTCCAAACCAACTTACTTCCAGGGTCAACCATCAAACATATTGCGGAAGATGTGCTCGCTGATTCATAAAATGGAGCAGCATCCTCATCCCCTCTCCGTGCCCTTCCTCCTACCCCGATTCCTGGCTCATATGCATCTGTAAAGTTCCATACTCTTACCCCTGATTCTTGCCCTGCCCATAATTGTGTTTTTGTACTGACAATAGTCCTCAAAAATTTTCCTACCTGTAAAAACATTAAAGGATTCTCACTGATGTCTTAAACTAGATGATTACACGCAGTACATAAACAAAGTAATGCTGTGGTCACTGGTCATCAAGAACTTGCTGTAGAACTAATATCGAAAGGAAAAAAATCTATTTCATATAGAAAAACTAAATAATTATGCAAAAAACAAGAGGAATTTATCTAAAGCTGATAACTTTGATAAATAAATAACGACAACTACAGAACAACTTACTTCAGTTGATACCCAAAACCACGCTAAAGGTAGAAATCAATAAGAACATAAAAGAAAAAGAGTAAACAACAAAATAAATAAAATAAAATAAATAAATAAACTTTAAAGTAATTCTGTAATTCATTTCGCCCCGAGGGACATACAACCCTCATTATCCCCTAATCTAATTATCCTAAAATCTGATTTCTTTTGCAAAAATGAAAGCCCATAAATAAAAAAGTCTAGAGAGAGAAGTTTTGAATTTATGTGAAAATTTATTTATTGGAAGAATATGTGATTGAAAATGAGTTTTAAAATAGGGGACTCGAAGGGAAGCAAAGTAACAAAAACACGCACCTGCATACATTTCCAATATCTCTAATGACTTGCAAAAAATACAATTCACGCATTTCAGTCAATGAAGAACACACAATTAATTGACGGTACACATTTTATATGACAGTTTCTATATGCTTCTTGAAGGCACATATGCTATATCGCAGACGAGGCGAAAGAGTTCATACTGCATTTAAATGTCACTTCTTCCTGTGGCAGCCATCTTTTAGAACAGATAAAAAAAACACACATCTTCATAACTTCAAAAATGGAACCGTACATGCTGAATATTGCAAAGGCCCATAAAAAATTAGAAATTAAAAAAAGTCTGTTCATCATACTTGTGTTTCTCTTAGAGGGTGAGGCCTAAGCTCGAGAAAAGGTGGCCGGCTGGGATGTACAGCTGCCCTTTTAGGCGCCTTAAATACCCCCACCCCTCCACCACTCCCCATAAACTCCGGCATTGATTGCTGAAACTGCTGCTGGTACTCATCCCCTCCATCTCCAATTGGCATCCCATCAATCCTGTAATCTACGCGGTGATCGCTGACGGACCCCATACCACCACCACTACTTGCAATACTAGCACTAGTGGTAAAATATGGATAAAATCCATCATCATCAGAAGAATCGTTGGTCCCATCGCAATAAAATTCACTGTTTTTATTATTTGCGTGTTTGTTCAAGATGTGGTTTTCATCAAGGCTGTGCTTGCGAAGCTGGTGCTGCCGCCGCTTGTGGTGGGTGCCGGTGCTGGTTCTCAACTGGTGGCTGTAAGAGTGAACCTGCCGGCGTGGAGGCACGTTGGATAACCCCGCTAGCACCGTCCCATCATCGTCTTCTAAACGTTCATCCATTATTTTGAATTTCTGATTAGATTTTGTGTTGATTCTTGGAACGTGATAACAGAGATTCAAGAAATTCGTAGAGAAAGCATCAATGTTGGGGAGAGAAAGAAAATGGGAATATGAGAGGAAATATTCGAAAGAGAGAAACCATTGGTGTGTGGTAAGGTGGCATGGGAGAGAGGTGGGGTGCGAGGAGAGAGGCGAAAGATGCTGGCAATGCACGGACAGGAATGTATTGAGTTTCCAAGGTGAAGCGTGTGTATTGTGACATTTTAATTTTCATTTAAAATAAATTTTATTTTTCATGCGAGGGTGAAATTAAAAAAAATAGGGTTAACAAAGATTGAACCTGAGACAATAATCAGTAGGTAACAGTCTGATATCGATAAGAAAATAATGCAAATGAAAAAATGTTTTAGCAAACACTGAAGGAGTATTAGGCATAGCAATAAACTCAATAACAAAATTAATTTGAAATGGTGCAAAGGATCAAGCGACTATTATTTGGCACTAAATCGAGAAAGGGAGAATGCTCTGCGCATGTATAACTCTTCATGGACTCCTTCAAGTGCGACATTATCAACGGAAGCCAACTCTAACTACTCTCGATTTAGCATGTAATTCTATCGCTCCACCACTATGGTATGGAATGTATTGTTAAGTAGTTAGTCCACCAGTTGTACTTTCTTTGAGTAGTAATCGTATTTTACTTCTTTCGAAAATTACTATGAAAAGCTAGTTTCAATAACTTGTATGGACTCACAACATATCAACTTTTCATTAAAAGTTTTTGTAATTACTATATGCAACATGAAATTAACAAAGGGGTTGCTTTTAGTTTGTTCTCAACTCAAAGGGACGGCAAGGTCTAACTCCGTTGAGCTCTTCCCTCGACCCGTTATGTGTACTATTGTCTACTTTAGTACGAGAAGGCTGATATACTATATTTTTCTAAAAATGTTATAGTTTAAATACTTGTCTTTATTGTCAAAACATTTTATAGAACCAACGAAAAAAATTCAATCTTGTCGTCTCTTATTTCAAGATAAATTGATTGTTTCTTTTCTTTTCTCAATCAGATTTTCAATTATTATAATTTATTAATTCTATTTCTCATTTAACAACTCCTTTGAAAAATGTACATTTAAGCCCATGTTTGATTCTAATTCTTTAGAAATTCATTTTCAACGACACATTTTTTTAATAAAATAATTTTACACTCAAATCCATTTTTTTCTACTTTTTAACTATACATTCTACATAAAATCACTATTACAATATCTATTCTCCAAAAAATGAGGCTCAACAAAATCTTTTTAAATGTTTGTAAGAAAGATGACAAAGATAAATATTCAACATCAAAGTTTGATAATACTTGATGATATCATAACTTTCTTGTTTGACTTGAAGTGCCAAGTTCACGAACACGCGCATTATAGTTTCTAATTTTGTCTTGATCCTCGAGGCGGACACTTTCAATACGACCATGATCTCATCATCAGCCCCGTGACTCTATCTCACTTCATCCCGAAGATCCCCGACCAAATAAGGTTTCATCTCGGAGTTCACCGTCTTGACATGGTCTACTCATTTATGACTCCTACTCTCTGGTCCCAATGGGAGTTCTAAGACTATCAAAAGTCCAATTCTATATGGTCTACTCATTTTTATCTCAAGGGAGTTTCAATCCTTGTAGAATTAAACAGCTTATTCTCACTATATATACTCATGTCTAATTCATTATACATGTTCCATTCGTGCTAGCTCGTGCTTTTCTAACTAAAGATCAAGCCAGCCCAAGTAATTTTTGATAGCATCAATACAATTATTAACCACGACAACTTAAATGAAAGAAAGGAATACTAAATGTCAAATTATCAATCTCTATTTATCTATTAGTTGTCTAATAAATTAGTTCTAGATATTATATTGAATCCAAATAAAAAATATTGTCAAGATTCGTTATAACTTGATGTGCAAAAATTAAACTTAAGGTTACTTCAATACATTTTTGTCATTAGAGTCGACTATGCCCACACTTTTGAAGGAAATGCAATTGCACTAAAATCTCTATAATATAATAATATGGAGATCTTAAAAAATATTACTTAACATGAGTTATTAATTTATTGATAAATGAATAATTATTATTTTATTGATAGTATACATAAATATTAAAGTTACAAAAATGTGACAGGTGTCAAGCGCATCTTGAATTATCCTAATAAAAATCATAGATAATGGCATGCCTACTGACAAAGAGATTATTCAGGTGATATTGAATACTATTAAAAATTATTATCATGATTTAGGTGATAGTTGTGTTTCACTAATCATCTCCCACAAAAAGCCTCTCAAACATTTTTTCTCTAAAAAAAGACATAAATATTAAAGTTACAAAAATGTGACAGGTGTCAAGCGCATCTTGAATTATCCTAATAAAAATCATAGATAATGGCATGCCTACTGACAAAGAGATTATTCAGGTGATATTGAATACTATTAAAAATTATTATCATGATTTAGGTGATAGTTGTGTTTCACTAATCATCTCCCACAAAAAGCCTCTCAAACATTTTTTCTCTAAAAAAAAGGGCAAATGTGATATAAAGAAAAATTAGGGACAAGATCGAGTTTGAAAATTAAGCAATTTTATGTGCATATTAAAAAAAAAAAAAATTGAATTGAGAAAAAGAGGTTATCAAGTAAAAATTTTCATTAATATTGATGTGTGCGTAATTCTTGCATTCAGTATCATTCAAATTTGAAAAATTGTTTGTTCTTAAGAGTTTTAAAACATTGTGGTATATGTTTTCGAGTTGTGTTATAGAATAGGTGAATTGGTGAAAAATGAGAAAGAAATAACCAAATAATAGTGTCGATATGAACCTAGGAAAAGAGTAACTAAAATCATGCAAAGAAAGAGGCGAAGTTAAAGAAAAATGAAGAAAACATTACTAGGTGCTACATCCAAAGGCCAAAGCAGATTTTCGCCAAAAATGAGGCTCCCAGCCGCCATATTGCTGGAAAATTTCAGATTGCTAGCGCCCAGCCACCATACCTCGACGCCTCGGCGCTAGCAAAAAATCTTATGTGGCGCCTAGGAGCTACTCGTCGGTTAGGATTTCTATTTTTTTTTAGTTCAATTCAACCCCAACTCGTCTAGCACCTCAAGAAAGCATAAATACAACTGGGCACTTTAAGAGCACTTCGACGAGGCAAAAACAAGAGAGTGAAGGCAACAACGAAAAGAAGATTGAATCGAACTCTAAAATAGTTTTTCTCTATTCTTCTTTATGTTCTTGATTATGAATTATAGATTATCTTATTCTCTAATTATGAACTAAATCTCTCATCTAGGATTTCAAGGAATCTAAACTTGAGATTATGTTTTGAGTTTCAAAAATTATTTCTTTGAAGTATATCTATTGAGTTTATTTGTTTTATTTATTCTTAATGCTTTCAATTAACTAACCATTAATTGATTGAGTTAATGTTTAAGATTCGACAGTCAAGAGAGGGAACCTCAGACTTGATCATAGAATAACACAACTTAGGTTTTATAGATTTTGAGAGAAAGTATATTTCCTTTGAAGCTTTTTCCAAGAAGAACTATATAACTTGATAATTTTTAGATTTTTGATTCAGAACAGGAATTGAATTCTATTAATTGTTTTCACTCGGCACTCAAGGGAGGGAGTAGAATTATATTAGGGCTCCTGCTTACAAACTTGAGAAAAGCAATTGAAGATAATTAGAGAATTTAGAAACACAATTGATAGTTAAATGAAATCAAAACCCTAGGTTTATCTCATATTGCTTAATCCTTAAAACTTTGCGTTTAAATTGTTGATTTAGTCAAATACTTTCACCTGAAACTTTGTATTAGTTCGGTCGTCTAGATAAAACAAAGGTTATTTCAATCATAATACTTAATAAGAATTTGATTATCAATCTCTCTGGGTTCAACATTCTAACTTCCCTATTATATTATAAAACTTGACAACCGTGCACTTGCAATATAGTTTACGCATAACAAATGTACATAACAAATTTCACCTATTTAATCAATTAATAGTTTATATTTTCATTGGACCCTACAAGATTGTAAATAAAATAATCGTTTTATGTATTTAACGAGATTATTAATTTAGTACACATGTTTGATCCATGACCAAAAAAATTTATTATTTGATCAAAGTTATTAATTTATCAAGATTTTATTCAGGCTTTGGAAACATATGATTTAGTAAGTCATATTTAGTTTTAATTAATAAGATAAGCATAAACTCATCTCACAGTGAAATTGAGAAGGATTGATGTCCCCAAACCATATTTGAGATAACAGCATCCATAGCCGGTAGAGAGAGGCTACACTAACAGGCCCTGATCTGAAATGCTGACACCTCAGCCCCTGTGACAGGGGCTGTCAAAGGCCCCTGTTTGAGCAGAAGAATTCTAGCAAGTTTGGTAATTTTTGATAATTTACTAATTCGTTGGATAAAGTCAGAACGACAATGACAAAACTGACATTCACTCATCAAAATTCTTATTGGAGCAAAGGATCACTTCTCTTCAACACAAATGGTTAACCAAATTAGTTACAATACAAGAGGGGAGTGGAAAAGTAATGGAATGTTACATCTGTAGTAGCAGGCATATTTATTAAGCCCTTATTTGATTTAGGTAAAAATTAGATAAATAGATAAAAATGAGTGATAGATGAGTAAATGGTGGAATGAATCCAAACAAGCACTACGTAAGTGCATCCTTCCACTCCTCATTTGTATTGATTGATAAGCAATGAGATTAGAAACTGAGGATCTGGTAAAGTGTGAGTTCGACAAGTTGGGTTATAACAATTCATGAATGATTTCCTTTTCCTTCCAAATGAATGGGAAGGGTAGAGCGAAGGGGAAGGGGAAGGGGAAGATTCTTAGTTGTACACAGGGACGATTATCTAGTAATAATTGCAGTCTCGACACAGCCTATTTCGAGACTGAAGGATGAAAGGATGAAAAATTTGAGTTCCATATTTTACATCTTAGTTTTGCCGCGTAATGTGATGGTTTAGGTTTAGGATGAAGATGGAAAATACAAGACAGCTCCCATTTGATTCATGCTCCAATTTCATCAAGATGATATCAAAACTTAGGACATAAAACTCCCTCCTGTATCGTATACGAATAGCTCTACTGTCCCACGTGTTTAAATGGTTGGCACTGCATATATTTACTGGTTCAATTTTGTTCATCTCAGTTGAAATAAGTTTCTTGTCTTATAGCAATTGTTAGATGGCCAAATCTTCAGCTATGACAAGGAGTAGGCCCTATTTGGTACAAATTAATGTGAAAATAAGAATGAAAAATATAGTCGTTACGGACTCCACACGAAAGATAGAAAGTCAAATATGACGGTTTGATGTGATGGATAACAGTCATATTTTTCATTTTAATGGATAAATAATGAAAAACAACCGGGGGCTAAAATTCTAATGTATTTGAATAAAACTAGTCCAAAAGTTCTAATTACAGGTAAAAGAGAGATTATGGCGTGTATATAGACATTTATATGAAATAAACTGTTAAAAATTAAAATAATTCTTCAGTAATCTTCATCTTCCGAATAGTTGTCATCGCTATATTGTTCATATATCTGATACTCCCCGGCAGTTTCTTCTTGTTGATCTACACCAAATGGAAAACTACCAAATAGGTCCTGAAGGTAGTCCCTTGAGACGTTCTCATTATCTGTATCTGATTAACGTGTAAAGGAAAGGAATATGCAGTCTTTGTTTGTTTTTACTCATTATGGATCTTGCTTTCATAAAACATACTTTCTTCTCCTTATTTCTCGAGGGTATAGTGAACGGAAGAAGCACATTCTTATATATATCTCAAAAATAAAAGTATTTAGAAAAATGGAGTAAAAAAAAGAGAATGGTGCGAGGATACATGTACGTGGTTGTAGCGATAAATTCCTTTCGAGACTGACCTGGAAACATGAAATTGAAACTTTAGGTGTCAAGTTGTATGGTTGACGCTAAAAGAACGAACCAAAGAACTAGTAAATGTAACTGGGCATACGCACAATAGTAGAAGGCAAAAGCATAAAAAGAGAAGGTATACCGACCGGGTCAAATGGCTCGTCTGCATCCATATCCTCTCCAAGATTGTCATCTTCATTTTCATCTTCCTCATTATCACCATCGTCGTTGGGTTCTTTGCTTCCATTATCTATCACTTCTGTGATTTAAGATGCATCAAATGGTATTTTAGCAGATAAAGATGTGAGTGGCTAATAGCAGCAATATCTTGATGGCAGTCAAATTTAAAGTTATATATATAGCATGATCTGAATAATTTAGCCCCTGTTTGTTGGCCATTATTTTTCAAAAAACAATGTTTTGAATAGTGGTTTTTAGAAGAATGTGTGATTAAAAAGTAGAAAAAAGTTTTTGGGTTTCTTGCAGAAAATTTTTGTTATGAAAATAATGGTTGAAAATGAGTATGTAAAAAAAAAAAAAAAGTGTTTTCAGATAATGGTTGTCAAACAGGGGCTTAATAAACTCAGAACTGTAGAAAAAGCTGGCGAATGTCAAAGACTCAACAGCGAGAATTTATAGCTTTACAAACTTTTAATTTAAAAAGGACGGCTCAACAAGTGAGCATACACAGACAGCAGGATCATGTTGCAAATGGCCTTAGTCCTTTGCCTTACCATCATACTCACCATGCCCTACCCTCCACAAATTTATTGAAAAAAAAAATGAGAATATGTTTAACATCGTTGAAAATAACTCAAGAACAAGGAGAAGCTATGGAAATGAATTCACAAAGAATCAGCGAAGTATAATATAGATTCTTCTAATTGAATCACACCTTTATCGGGCTGTTGCCTTTCTTCATCAACTCGCTTGTCTTTCACATTGATGTCCATCCTTTTTGACTTTTCGAAGCGATTAGAAACAGATCTCAACAAGGATTTTGCACCATCCTTAGGGTACACTGACAGAAACCTCACCGCAACACACAATCTCAACCTATCAATCACACGTGATGAAAACCATCCAGTTGCCAACTATAAACAAAATGAAGTCAGAATATACATATGTATATATATGTATGTATGTATGTATGTATGTATGTATGTATATGTGTGTGTGTCTATATATATATATATATATATATAGAGAGAGAGAGAGAGAGAGAGAGAGAGAGAGAGAACTACATGTACAGAAATAATTTACAGAAATGGAAATAGGCAAAATGCAGAAGAATATGAAAGTAATAGGAAAGAAAGCTTGACAACTATCCAATCTCCCAACAAAGAAGTACTTGGGCTTCTCAAAGGTTTGGAACAAGTAAGTTCCCTTTGGTAGACTTTTATTAACAAAGAATGAAGCAATCCAACTGAACATAATGGCGCACACAGAAAAATTTTGTAGCATCGACGTGTTTATTTTGTTAAAGCTATGCACGAAGTCCAACCAGACATTATTTTCCTTGAGTCTAACATTCGATAAAGAATATGTTATATGAGTAGATATAGCAGGGATTGTTTTAATCACCTGATCATAAAATCTAATACTATTTTTAGAAAGCTCGGCAGATTTTCTTTCCTTTCGTCTGTTGGGTCAAGCTAAAAAATAAAAATTTCTCTTATATAATAATTTTTGGACCACATCCAAAATCCTTTTATTTAACAAAATATGAGAGTTACTTTGATCAACTTTTTGGCTAAATTGCAGCTGACTCACCTCAATTCATGTTCATCCCTAAGGAAGGACAGTACGAATTAGAGACAAAGCTACATTAAGTAGTATGCAAATACCATGAAATGATTAAAGAAAGATTAAATTGACCACAAATATTAATTTAGTTATTCAAAGCATGTAATGATGAAATCAGGATTCAGGCTTTCAATGACCCCCTTTCTACAAGTGTGTTGGTTGGGAATAAAGAACCTCATTTTTAATATAGTAAAACAAATAGCCATTCTATGCATAACAGATTTACAATTTTTAATATCCAATCCTTGTCTATGATAGATAAATTTTTTTATGAATAACTAACTGATTTTGATTCTTGTTTATTCCCCTTTCTGGTTACTCACATTTTTATTACAGGTAGGATAACTTCATATAACTTCGTTTATTATAACTTCAAACTGAGGAGGGACATCAAATTTATGTAGAAAAGCTAAAGCAGCTAAACATAGTAAACGACATAATCGTCATCAAAGGCATAGAATCATAGTTGAGTCCGAGACTTGAGGATTTATGCAAAAGTTTCTCACTTCAAAATAGATAGTTTATGCATCATTTCGCATGACAAGTCCTAAAATCTTATGTCCAGATACAAAGTGGCTACAAAATTAAAAAAAAATCGAAACTTCAAAAACTACCATCGAAACAATAGAAACAGAAATGAATTAACATACACTGCAGGTTGTTCGACTGGGATGTTTTCTGATTTCCTGCTGAATATAATCATCCTTAAGTTCAAAGAGTTGCAATGAGATTTGGGACTTATGAGGAAAAACTCGAAAGGAACAAATATCCTCCCATCTGAGCTTTGATCTGCAGAAAAGAGACATTAACAAGTACAGTAGAGCCAGAAAGAAATGAGGGAAATGCTTATCACTACTTACAGAAATGTAGTTTTCCCACCATGCTTAAAGAATTTCAGCTATCATATTACAGAAATAAGACGCCAGTAGCAGATGGTAAGATTCTTAGTAATTGAGAATATTACACCAGAAACAGATAACTATACTTCTTTGATGATAAAAGCTTGGTCAAATTGTAGAAAAGAATCTGTCAGGAAAATGTATAATTTGAAGTTATCGTTGTTACTTTCCATAACTTTAAAATCTAAAATATGTTCCTGACAATAAGTATGAGATGTACTATGGTAATCAAAAATAAACTTAAATATTTAGTGCACCAAGGTCGGCCATTGTTTGATTTCAACTTAATAACCCACGAAAGGAGAAGTAGATATTGTGATTCTTGGCTTATTTTGCTGCTATATTTGAGACAACCTAATATATCTACAAGGTACGAATTTGTGTAAGTACTTACTCAGATGCAACATTAGCATCATCATGGCTTCGTAGGGATGGTGGTACCCGAAAATCAGTCCTTTGATATCTATTCCAATAAAGCACAGAAGTTTAGAATAGGTCAATTGCAATATACTAAACATTTTGGTCAAGGAAGAATACCATTCAATTAAAAGAGTTCATAATATGTAACATAACTATCACCCACTGTAATAAGACAACAACTACCTATTACATTGAGATGAAATAAAGTCTAAACATTAATATCCTCTTAACATCAGTACAACTATTACTTTTTCTAGTACAAACATATTCAAAGAAAGAAATTCTAGTTAAAGAGTTTCGTATATTTTATTTTTATTTGCAATGGATAACAAGGCTTAGCACTCCCATGGTCCCAAACTGAGTGGATTCATTTTTCTTCTATTCTCATTTCCAACTAAATGTCCTCTTTCTCGCATTCAAATGATCTTCAGAAAGGTACATGGAACTATATGAACACAATTTTTCCAACTTTTACCTAAATCACATTCACAACTCTCAATTTGGAATAGAAGAGGCAGTATCTAGAGGGGTAAAAATCATAAAAAATCTCTGCCATCACAACCATAAAATCGGTCTTTTAATAAATCAATCTGGATGTTTGTTTCTTTATTTACAATTTTTTTTTAATTATTTATTATTTTTTTATTTTTTGTGAAACAAAGAATTTAAGTTATGGAGATGAAAAGGTAGAGGACAAGGAGTAGTCAAATGCATGTAAGGGAAAACAAAACTAAAGGAGTATATTTTTCCAACCGGTTGTAGATGTGAAGAAGCCAAAACAGCAGGCAGGCAGACAGGCCTGCTGCTTAGGTGACAAGGAAGATGAACACACCATTTTGTCCTCAAAATGGTGAAACATTAGAGGAATGATCGTGAAAGATTTAGCATTCCTGAAGCCATATAAACCATATTACAGCCATTATAACATAGTCATAGAATTCTCACCTCTTTCCTAACTCCAGAATATCTGAACTTTATAGGCATATATTGGACAAAAATTCAGAGGACAACAAACCCCCAAATATCAGAAACAGCCTCAACCAGATTCCTTAGCAGAAGTGAACTGCAAGAAAAAATGGGATTGGGCTAATTGTTTTGCCTAATTTCATGCAGGAGCATGCTTGAAATGGGATGCGTCTATTGTTGCTATTTGGGAATCGCCCACTAGTACATTCATTTGGTGTCCTTTGAAGTGAAACCCAAACAGAGTGGATCAGGGTGGATTACCGGGCTTCGTTTTGGGTGATATAGTGTTAATTGCACCTTCCCCAACATCTATAGCTTTCGAGCAAAGTAACCACATCTCTCGATATCAGTTGATATCAGAGCTAGACATCCCTTGTTCAAGTCAATGCTGGAGCATTATTATGGAGTGGGTGTGTAATACATGAGCATGCTTAAAATGCGAGTGGACGTGCTGTCGCTATTTGAAAATGGCCAAATTGTGCCTTTGTAAGGTGTCTTTTGAAGTGTCACCCAAATGGAGTGGGCTTGAGGTGGATTCCTCGGCCTGGTTCTCGTAGTATATAGTGGATTGCACTTCCCCCATCAGCTATAGCTTTTGGGTACATCATAATCACAACAAAAATATTAGTGAGGAGTGTTTTAGGATTGAGGCACTTAGCAAACTTTCCACTTCATTAATTCCCTTACGATTATGAAGAAACTGAATTCACAAAAGAAATGTTTTAGAAGATACATAATCAAGAGACCAGAGTCATCCTGTTCATTTCATGTGATGACCTCTTCCTCCATGGTCAAATAGTCACCGGCTTTTTGTTGTGATGGGTGGATTTCTCCAGACAAAGCAAGGCCATATCAAAAAAAAAGGTTTGGAGTCTGTAATTGTCAATGTTCTCACAACCAACCTAATGCCTCCCCTACACTCAGGTGAGGGGTGGTGTCAAAGAAAAATATAAAATAAACTCATAAAAGATGAGCCTGCTGCTGCTAGTTTGTTCCCAAGTACCAAGCCAAACTTATTTCAGTCAAGCACCTCTAACTGTGCACACACCTAAAATATGGAACTTGCAATGAAGTTAAAGATGAGATAGTATATTTGGTTGGTACACTAACATGCGAGATTCAGGGTCCTTGCGAGGATCATATCCTTTTCTGATCCAGAACCTAAGGAATGGCCCATTAGAGAAGTAATAAGCTGCTCTGAAAAGAAGCCTGCAATAAGTTAAATGGATTAACATAAAAAAAGAGAAAGACCACCTTCTTTACAAATCTTTATTTCATCACATACTATCTATGCAACATTAGTTATATAACAATGCAGTGAACACAAAGACTACCTCCGAAGCATATCAGATTTGAAAGTCAGGCCTCTGTCGAGCAAACGTTCAGCCAATGAATCTTTGACCCATATCGGACGCTCATCAAACAATTCACATACAGCTGTCTGCCATTTCCACTGATCCGAGTCTCGAGATATGAATTTTTCCCAATTTACTTTCTTAGGAATCTGTATGAATGTCAAGTGTAAACAATTCAAGGCATTGCAGAATACAAGCGTTCAGATCTTCCAATCTGCCGCCACCTAAAAGTCATATAAAACTCATCAACAAGGTCCAGCAGTAAGCATGCTCAACTGCTGGAGCAGATACTCTGAACATCATAAAGATATAAGATCCACTATCCTTTTGATAGTGAAGCTGTGGTTACTCGAAGTCCTCATGAAGTACCTTCTATCTTTCAGTACTTCAACTATGTCAAATACTGTGATAAGATTGATATAATCTTTCCCCTTTACTTCCAATATCTTGTGTTCATACGATTTTCCAAAAACTAAAAGAGTAAAGTTATAAGAAACTTTAAACCTTTAAGGCCACACTCGTTCTACTATAATGGAATCAAAGTCAGGAAAAAATCAGATATACTTCTAAATTGTTCCATTTCTTCCAACGACAAGATAATGATAAATGAAAGATGCGCTTTTCTAAACTTCTGAAGGTACCTAAAATTTGCTTCACTTTCTACAGAGTTAAGTTTCATAGAAAAGATAGAGGAAACAACATAAAAATAGACGTCGCTTATCAAAGTGTTCCTCAAGGACGAGGGAAGTGGGTGGTACTTTAGGGCAATTCTACATACTCAGTCTATGAACTGAAATTAAAGATGTCTACCAAATTCCAGAATGATTATAACAATTATATATTAAAGGTGAATCTATGGATAAAATGTTCTCTATGGAAATCTAAAGTAATTTTTAGCGATGCAAAGATATGAATTTGCAAAGAAATTTTTTTCACCATTCAATCATGAAAATGAAAAATCAAGAATTTTTTTTAAAGGGGACAAGAATAATATGATGAAACTGAATATCGATCAAAGAAAGAGATTTAGAAGGTCAATAATGTTAAGCTGCATGAAGACTGAAATCTATAATTGCTATTGAGATAATAGTGAATTAAATAGGAAACAAATGGTTAACAAATCATTTCCTGTTTTCCAAAAACAAATGCATCCAAATTACAAAATTAACATGGCCTAATGTGGTTGCAAAGATTTGATTTCGATGTATTTTTGGGTAGATGTAACATTAAAATGAACTGCACAAAGTGGCGAAATAGAATCCATGTAATCAACCCCATTTTTATTAAGGTTCACTTTGTTATTGTTGTTGTTGATACGAAAATAATTAGTATTCTATTTCTAAGTTGACTGATTTTTTTTTTTTGATAAGTTTATATTTTTGTCAAGTAAGAAATCTTTTAAAGCCATCACGGCCCGACCCAAGTACAAGCATGGAATTTAGAGATTGCTAGAACAAAAAATATCTTGAAAGCACGAGAGGCACGATTCCTGGATCTGAAAGAGACTCACTTGGGTTCTCCCAAGAACAGTAAAGTGTAGCATGCCTAATCTAACTAGGGTTCGCAAGGAACTAGATTGGAAAAAAGAGGGAGTCGTCCAATTTTAGGACATTGAAATCTGACAGTAGTAACATAGGTGCACCACTTCAATTTGGCTAAAAAAGACAAAGAAAGAGAGGGTAAAGTCAAATAAATAGTATTCTTCAAAATAAATCTACCTATTATGACTCGGAATACTGTATGAGGACAGCTTATTCACATTTCATGGTTAGAGGCGAATTGAAAGCTAAGCAGTAAGAATTCACCGAACCCATATTAAGTTTTCCTGTATCCATTGAGTAAATATGGGTTCAATCAAAATTTGCTTTTCCAGAGTACCAAAGGCAAGCATGCAATCGAACAAAATATTTACAAGGCTAGAAAAAATTACAAGAAATATAAAA